TGACCATATGGTAGAGAGATGGAGGATGTGATAAAGTACTGTCTAATTTGGGCTATCGCGCAACTCAAATGACGGTAATATAGGAATAGTTATGGAGCACTGGTATGATGTTGATAAGGAGAAAATTGAAGGAAGTCTGCAAAACGCTTTGGGCCACAGTCACTTCCTCCAATATTAATCGCATAAGAATTCACTGAGATTAAACACGAGCCCCCGCGGCCAGAAGCCAGCTCATAACTGCCTGAGCCCTGACGCGGTCCAAAGCGTTTTTATGATAACATTAAAATAAATCTTAATAGAAGGAGAAGAAGAAGAAGAAGAATATAAGGTGTAAGGCCACTAATTTCATGGAACTGACTTGGGACAGTATTCAGTGCAAGTCCCGGTACAATGGTGCTGAAACGTCGGGTACGTCTGCAGGAAGCGTCCTGTTAGACAGAGACTCATTTCATGTGCGTATCGATTTACGTGCTTATCCATCTCTCACAAAGGCAAATTCTGTATAGCCTTGGCAGTGAATAAAACGATAAAATACTTCATTCAGCAATGAATCGAAATTATCCTTTCTCAATGTAACACAGCACTGGTGCGGCCTAACGTTTGAATGTTTGCTGACCTGGTACAGTCTGGTAGATTGATTGTGCCAATCATTGATTTGCATACCATCTGCTGCAACGGAGGTGAGCAGAACTATTACAGACATCATAACAAAGAATGGATGAATCATTGCCTTCTCTGTCCATAAATTATACCTCGGAATTTATGAAGCCAATGAAAGAGGTGCACCGACGGGAAAGTTAATAACGCAACCCTACGCCATGAACTCATGCGGAACAACTGGGAAAAGCTGGAGAGACGAGCTGAATTTGTAACTGACAGTTACCAAACCTTTTTATTCGCAAGTGACGTATTAAGTATTTATAAATTATATTACATTTCTGGAAATTCAGAGGAAATTAATTACGATATTTTGTTTGATTTTGATCGTAAGTTTTACGCGTAATTATCTACAGAATATGAAATCGCACCACATTAGACCACAACGGGAAAATGCGAATGCCTGTTCACTGTTAAGGGAGTGAGTAATTAAAGGATGGCTTGATGCCGGCGCTATTGAAACAGCATTAGCTTTGCAATACTGTCGAACATAGTTTCCTAATCAATCGCAGATAATTTTAATATAGATAATATTTTTCTCATTATTACAGGCGAGAATACGCGAAAATTATCAGGCATGGATTGACAATGGGGAAAATGCATTTACTTCTTGCTTAATATCTCCTCTGCCGACATTTCAGTGAGGGCACTTTAAACGAAGCTACGTAAAATGAACCACCAGTGTTCACCTTGTTACAACTAGTTTACTTGTGGTAATTCCGCAGTTTCAGCTTCTGTTAGTCATGAAGTGCCGATCACAGTGGCCGAGCGGTCTAAGGGATGAACTGCCTTCAGTCACTCGAACGCTGGCATCGTGGGTTCGAATCTCACTCAAGGCATGGATATCTGTGTGTAGGTAGCTGCCTTGCGACAGTCTCAACACTCGTCTAAGGAGCCCAGCAAAGGGCTGTAGAGCCATTGATGAAATAAATTAGTCATGAAGTTGACAAATGGATATTGAAGCATCCTTAATTAATGAAAAAAAAATTAAAATGCACTTCCTGCCTCCGTGTCGCAAAGAATGCTACCCGTATAGGTTTTGTGTTTCTAAACTCATACCTATCTGTGTTTCTCTTTCTCAATCTGTCTGTCTGTCTGCTCCTCTGTCTGTCTATCCATCTCTCTGTCTACGTATCTATTTATGACTCTACAGCCCTTGTGGACATTGGCCGCTTTTTCAGTTCCTTAATCTGTACACAGCCAGTGGCACTCCTATCAGCTCGTCACAAGGCCGCTACCTACACACAGAACGAACACAATAAATGCACACAGATATCCATGCCTCGTTCTATTCGAACCCGCGACCCCAATGTTCGAGCGGACGAAGGCGATTCATGGCCTTAGACAGCGCGGCCACTGTGATCGGCTTAAGAAATTCTTGACCCCACTAGGACTCGAACTCCGACCCCTCTGTCGTCCACCCCGTAGCCAGTCACTGGACCGACTTGCGATATCCCGGCGCTTAATCTAATATTTAGGTAGCATGAATTTTCTTTTGAAAGTGGCTTCGCAGTTGCCACAAAAATGCTAGAAAACACTAAGTTCTTGTAAAAATGAGAAAATAATAATATTTCTATGGCGCTCGCACTGTAGGTACGTGGATTTCGGAAAGCGAGGTTCGTGGTGCTCATTTTTATATCGACCAAGAGAGCGGAGCGCAATGCTTCCACCAATTTGGGTTTAGCACACTTAGAAACTTCTGTCAAAAATTCAGTCATTTCTTGGGGAGCAGTCATCAAGCCAATATGGGCATACGGAATCCAACTCTGGGGATGCGCCAGCAAATCAAATATAGATCTCATCCAACGAACTCACTAAAAAATTCTTCGTCTCATCGTAAACGCACCACGGTACGTGTCTAACCACACCATTCACACCGACCTCAAAACTCCATACGTCACAAAAGTCATCAAAGAACACAGCATCAAACACTTCAGCAAATTAGCTAACCACCCCAACCCACTGCTCCAGCCACTCTTACTGCAATACGACCACAGAAGAATTGGGCGAAAGTGGCCAGATGATCTAAAAATGTGAGGGACAGGTCGGTGGAAGTGACCCACTCAAGCCACTGAAGTGTACAATTCTTAGCTAATTGTACACAAGACAGCAAATTGACTGAAAGATTGTAGTATCTGACTGTCAATAAAGGAGATTTAAAAAAAAATTCTTGGGAACTCGTAAAGCAGAAGTTCATCTCATCTCCACACATACAGAATTGTTAGAAAAGTAGTTATGAATGAATGTACAAGGGGGTGGGCACCGCGACCACAGTGATCTATTGAGCTTTGAATGAACGAATGAATGTACAAGGGGTAACGTTAGCAGTTAGGAATGAAATAACAGTGGGATCAAGCACAAGGGGCCTACTTTGAAGGGGATTAGGTATTGTAACCACCCAGATACAGAACTTTTTTTTTCCCCCGGCCCAAGGTCGGATACTTTTTGGACAGAGTAGTATGTGCCAGGAATCTGTGCTGCACAAGACCGTGGTGTGATGCTGACACAGATATGCGGAACCTGAACAGAAGGTGGCAACAATAAAGCACAGCGGAAGCTATGAAGTGTTTACTTTTGTTCACATTTTTACTGTACATAAATAACACGGCACCTTGATATTAAGTCAAGTTTGGTATCTCGGTTCAAATTATGCCTCTTCCACTTTTTAAGTTCGTGAAGATGGGATTCATGACGAAGTTCGTTTTATAGGCGGAGAAATTTGATCGCGTTCGTAATGGATTTTACGCTCTGTATTTAAATGTTATTGCTTCCCAGCGTCATTTAAACTGTAGAGGCTACATGACACCAAACGAAGTGAGAAGCTGACGTTTACTGGTGAGGCCTACAAGGAGGCAGCCGTGCAGTAACCCGGCAAGTACAGGGAAGCGTCCGAATACAAGTCTGCAGCCTTAATCTGCACCAACTGGTTCCATATTAAACATCCCAATGGCCATTTCGCTTTTATATACGTAGCTGTCCACGGTCACTTCTTTACTTCCTATAACAGTTTGCCTCACATTATTATCCTGTGATGCTGTTCAAAGCTAATTGGCCTCTTCGGTTGATACAGTGTCGTTACGTAATCCAAGAACTAAGCAGCAACAAATCCCATTAAAGTAATATAGCTCTACACAGAGGCGTCTTTTTATAAATAAAATGCGGGACCGGTAAAGCTTCTTTCCGTTTCTCAGAAGCTTCAAGCCAATAAACTAGTATCGGCAATTTTGTTACGACGCAAATTCCCAGAACGTGTTCCTGGAGCTGTGGCGCACCTGCTGCTCCCTCGGCGTGGCCAGATATCCTCTCCTCTCCTCTCAACATTCCGGTGCCTTCAAGGCTTCTCTTAGAATGTAAGACCTATACGAAGTTAGGGAGTGCGACATGACGCGACCTCATCTGACGCTACGTGTAATTTACAATACATTTGCTCGCTTTATAGTTCAAGCACAAAATTATTAATAAAAGTTAATAGCATAGGTACTCCAATATGGAATGCAAGTATTTCTCTTACCCCGCTGTTCTTGATGGTCATTTGTTATGGTTAAGAATAGGCGTGTATTGCTAGCCGAGGCAAACAAGGAGACAAGCACAGCGACGATGTTGCTGACAAAGTTAGTCAGGAGTCAGGGGTCATAAAGTTTTCATCCTTGTGTTTGGTTTCGTGTAAATGTTATTCTCGTAGACCCGAGAGGTGACTGTGTCTCATGCCACGAAGGAAATAACACATGCTTGGAGACGACCTCTTAATTATGCGTTAATTTCATCCACTGTATGTGAATAAGATATGAAATGAAGTGTTCTTAAAACGCAGCACAGAAACCGAGGATGCCATGAATTCGATGCCGAGGAGGAAAGAGAGAAACAGTGACATACGAAAAATTTCGTGAAGAGTTTCATAATTCGTAAGTCATTTTTCATCTGGAAATCAAAAGATCAGTCCTCCGAGAGAACACAGTTGGGCGGCATGGGCTGAGGGAGTCTAACGGTGCACTAACATTCGGATGAAAGTCGTTATCGTAAGGAAATATGAATAAACAAGGGGCTAATATTAAAACTCACATGAGATGAAGAATGTTACAGCACAATGTGAAGACCGGTACTGAATTAAACTTGTTCAGAATTGGTTCCAGTGGCAGGCAATTATGTATCTTACGAATTCTCGGGTTCCTATATCTTTATTACCTGCAAAGTAATTTTGATGCAGTTTTGTGGAATAGGATAATCATTATCGCTGACAAAATTGGAATTCTCACATTTATTTTAATTACACACACTAATGAGAAGCAGCAGCAAAATATTATCATCACAGTTTTGAATTAAGATTAACTCTCTTCTTTTTTCAGACTTGCCAACCGAACTGGAGATGAAAGGTAAATTAACAGTTCGGCAGACTATTTGTAATGTGTACTGGGAAGTACATTTAGACCCCAGAGAGAGGAAAATATAATAGTGTAGAGAAAAATACACAATAAGTAGCTTTGTAGTCCGTATCCCTTGTTTTACTTAGTTTCAAATATTTGTTTTGGAAATGTAACATCTGAGCTGTTGTTTCAGATTTACTTGTTCCCTGTGGCATGTAGCATCTTAACGTTGATTACTTTTATCAGTACAATAAGCAGGCATGAATTACTACAAATGCACTACAATCATTATCATCATTGTCATAGACATTATCAATCAGTCCAGTGTTAAATTTAATTGTAACGGTAAATGACACATTTTTACATGCCTTTATGTTGAAGAAGTAGAAAAGAACCTTTTATTCTAATGGTAGTTGATCTCGGCTAGTGATATTGGTGCACTGGACCTGCTCTTGTGTGTATGTCTCCCGCAGTGTGTACTGTCTCCCGCAGTTTGTATGTCTCCCGCAGTGTGTATGTCTCCTTGTCGATCTGCGTCCTTTTGCAAATGCAAATGTCATTATTACAGCTCGAAAGTAGCAGATTCTCGTAAAATATGTTAATGGAAACGTCCCCATTTCTATCTGTGATCAACAGTAAAAGATATCAGTAGTGCGAACATATGAGGTGGGGAGAAATCCTAGGGTCAAGTAGTTTCTGAAGTTTTATGTTGAACAAGCAATAGTTGTTAAAACATTCCTTACGAAAATTGAAAGTAGCAATGTGATGGTTTCGAGAAATATTTTCATGCGATGACAGATCACTGTAACTTTGAAGTCTGCGCTTTGTTCCGTTACACGCTACAAAGCCGTCAGACTGTTTGAGTCGTACTAATATCTATATTTTTAAAAATATTTCACTATGACAACGGAGAATATTTTTACTGCATGATTGCTATTTTGTTGTATGTGACGCTATCTAGTATGGCAGAAGTTTATTGACGTTTCGGGGGACCACGCTGCCTCAATCCTCCGAATTGTACGTAACCGTCTACCTGACTCCACGTCGTCACACCCAGGAGACAGCACTCTCTGTTCTCATTGCAGACTGAGTATGAAAGCTCACCTTGGACAGTCACAATAAAATGCCGGTGCGTGTTTGGGTATAAGCGTTCTGCAAAATATTGATGAATATGCAAGCGTTCGCCGCTTGATTCATCCTAACAGGGTCGTAACTTGAGACGTGCGACCAGAATGGAAAATACATGAACAAAAACACGCGAATATAAAATAAGTTACGTGGGATATTTATGAAGGCTGAAAGATTCCCGTATTCCAACAATGGGCGCGAATAGCTTCATCAGCTGAAGCGTCTATGAACATACTGCAACTGGTACTGTACTCTATGAATATTTCCGCGAGTATTAGTGACTAAAGACGGGATTTTGGATTGGATGTTCGAATTTACTGTCACCTCATTCACACAACTTGGGACTACAAGCAATTACAGCGGTATCGCTATTCTACACATTGCAGTTCACCGCTGTACACACACTATAGTTCTCTGTCTTCACTAGTCGTATTCTGGCAACGGATTCATAGCCGTCTCACTGTAACTTCAAATCATGCATGAAGTCTTCTTGTCACAGTCCAATTCCTTTCTTGCCATTCCTTCTCAGTCACCTTCGACTGCCATCTACAGAACTCTACCCAGTTCTTGACAACTCCCTCAAACAATTTTCTTTGTCCTTTTATAACCCCTTGCTACGGACAACGCAGAAACAGCCTCTCTCTTGTGTAGAAGGCTTGATTACTGATCCGTTGCTTAGCAATGGACGTCCTGTTGCGCTCGTACGCTGCCAAGAGAATGTTTACCGAGTGCTAGCCTAGCAATGGGTCTGTACGTCACACTGTCAATACAAGGTTAATGAGGCGAAGGGTGTGGGTGCGTGGGGAGGGGAACTTCATAGTTACGTTCTGAAATTTCGAAAGAGGCAGTGTTTTCTGATCACTAAAATATGCATGTAGATGTGAAGTAAGCCAGATGCATCATTCTGCAGAAGCTACCACCAAACAATAAAGTTGCAACTGTAAAGGAATAAAGAGAAAAGAGAAGAATGCAAACGACTTTAACCTTTACCCTAATTAGGAAACGTGGAAGAGGACACACACACACATATATNAGACTAAGACTCATCTTCATATTACCCTCCCGCTTTCTTCGCTATCTTCTAAGTCGATATACTGAAACGCGTTTATCTAGCAAACTTTGACATGCATCCCTTGCCTTACCATCCTAATCACATAGCCACATTATCCGTCTTCCCAGAATCCCACTGTCTTATAAATAACAGTTGATCCAAAGAAATGACGAATCTCCTCATTTACAGCACGCGTATCCGCAGTTTTCACGTCAACCCTCTTCAACATTTCAGCAGTGGCTCTGCAGCCCTTTGTTGAGCCCTGGTCTCTTCTTCAGTGTTGTATTAATTTTTACATAGACGGTAGGACTCCTCGGACGAATGACCAGTCCCTCGCAAGGCCGCTACCTACACACAGAACAGCGCAAACACAGAATAAACTCACACATAGATATCTATGCCTTGAGAGAGATTCGAACTCCCAATCCCAGAGTTCGGGTGAGAGAAGACAGTTCATGCCTCATACTGCTCGGCCGCCGTGATCGGCCTTCATCCTTCTTGGGTCTCAATATCTTCCTGGCACTTCATTTTCAAATACGCGTAGTTTATGTGCGCCCCGCAAAGTATGAGGTCACATTTCCCAACCACGTATATGCTGTGTCCCGTGAATGCAGAAGGAATACTGGGACTGCGACCGGGCGATATGTAGCAGATTTAGGACTGAAATTCAAGTCCACTGTAGACAAGAGCTGTTGAATATATATTTCCTTACAAGTTGAAATATATAGTATTTTTTATTTCGTGGGTTTGGGTGACGCTAAGTCCAGTTGGTACGCCGGCCACTACTGAGAATTTTTAGAGGAAGCCGAAGTACTTGGGGAAAACCTGCCCCAGTGCCACGTTGTCCACCGCAAATCTTACGTAATATGACCTGCAATCGAACCCGGGCCACCGCAGTAGAAAAGCCTAGGCCATGACACGGTCTAAATATGTCGTAACAACCAAGAAATTTGCAACATACAGCGGGGCTCTTCTTGAAGCAACGGGAACGCAGAGAATGAACGACATGTAATGAAATGGTTAGTCGTGAGGCCGTCGCCGGCCAGCAAGGACGTGAACACGGAAGCTGAGAAAGCTAAGATATTAGGAGCCGTTACTAGACGACCGGTGAAGACACAGTACGTATACTGAGAAGATATAGTGCGCGCTGTAGTGAACTATAGAGTGTATGAATCAGCGATAGCGCTAGAGTTGCTTGTAGTTACCACTCCCGTCTATAGGCACCCTATCACGTGACACTACTTATGTATACCGGCAAGGCATAAAATATGATCCTATCGCAAGCATTCCGGGAGCATCGTTCACAGTTAATAGACCACGCTTCATGTCCTCAGCAGTTAACACAGAGCCGTAGGACAAGCGCATAATACTAACACCGACACACCATTCTTACCATAAACGATGGAATCATTAGTTCTGCTTCTTTCACTATTACAGCCTCAACAGTCAGAGTATCGATACCTCAGCATCGGATGTACCCACTATCATAACTATAATGAGAACGCAGTTCCATTTAATAGAGTCAGCAAAGTCTCGCAGAACAGCGCGCCGCTGTGGGACGGTCTGGGACCGGGTTCTGGCAGATATCAGCAGAGCGCAATTGTTCGGTCATCCGACAATCAACTGCACGCCCGTTGTGTGACTGGGATACATCCAGCAAGTCCCGCGACTTGTCCCGTTAAACTTCTTACCTTATTTTACAAGGAACGACAGCATGTAATCCCGTCATTTGCAGGAAAAATTCCTCCCTGTTAATTAACTCAATTTATGAAGCGAAGTTCTTGAGAAGGTGTGCAGCTACTCAAGGACTTCCCAATATTTTTTGGGACCCTGAGGTTCATTATCGTGTTCACAAGAGTCCTCTACTGGTCCCTGTCATGAGCAAGATCAATCCAGTCCATACCATCCCATCCTTTATATCCATATTAATATTATCCACCCACCTACGTCATGGTCTTCCTAGTGGTATCTCTCCTTCTGTCTTTCCCACCAATATCCTATATGCATTCCGCTTCTCTTCATCCATCCTACATGTCCTTCCCATCTCATCCTCCTTAAGCTCTCAATATGCAGTCTTCTACAATCTCTGTCACTTCATCTGTCTGCAGTCCAAACATGCTTCCCAAAGACACTCAGTCTATATCATCCCTTAATGTCAGAACCAATTTTCACACCCATACAGAACCACAGGCAAAATTATAAGTTTGTATATTTGTTTTGACAGCAGACGAGAAGACAAAAGGTTCTGGACTGAATGGTAGCAAGCACTACCCGAATTCAGTCTCATCTTGATTTCCTCCTGAATGAAATTATGACTTGTTAGTGTTGTGTCCAAATATCTGAACTGTTCCACATTTTCAAAACAGCTGTTAGCTCTCTTTATGTCATGATTTTCCCTGCACTCTGGTGATGAAGCAGCAACATATACTTAGTTTTCTATGTGTTTACTTCTAGATCAACCTCCTTGCTGGCATCAATTAAAGTTTGTGTGTTATCAGTCAGTATATTCACGTCATTAGCATAGACGAACAGCTGATGTGCCCCATCTAATTTCAGTCCCACCTGCTTTTCCTGGACCTTCTTAATGACATTTACTAAAGCAAAATTGAAAAGATTTGGCTTTAAAGAATTTCTTTGTGTTAGACCATCGCGGATAGAAAAATTATCAGACAAATATTTACCCATACGGGCTTTACTATACGTTTCATGTGTACCCCAAACTCTATGAGAATATTATACAATACTTCCCTTCTAACTGAATCGTGGGCTTTCTTGAAGTCTATGAATAGCTGATGTACTGTCTCATCGAATTCCTATTTTTTTCTCTAGT